ACACGTCATTATTTATTTATCTTTATATTTAGCTTTAATTACAATTTTCAAGTTACTGCCTTGAAACTCCCATACCTACAAACTTTCACCCCCCTCGCCCCTCCGTTTCCCACCTTTAAAATCCTGAAATACGACAATAATTATTTATGAGTAGCTACAATTCCAATTTTCAAGTTCATACCTTTAAAATGTAAAAATCCAAAAACCTTGAAATATGTCTTTATTTATTTATGAGTAACTATAATTCCAATTTTTAAGTTCCTACCTTTAAAAAATCTATACCCCCTCTACAAATTTTCACCCCCATTTCCCCCTCTTAAAATGTAAAAATCCAAAAATCTTGTATTACGTCATTTATTTATGAGTAGCTACAATTCAAATTTTCAAGTTCCTACCTTTAAAAAATTAAATACTTCCATTACACTTTCTCCCCCCGTTTCCTCCCTTAAAATGTGATGTTTTTAAAATCCTTACTTAGTGGGTGTCTACTTCGAGAAAGAAGTAACTATGCCAAATTTCAAGTCAATCAAGCAATCAATCAATATATGTTTATTGTCAAAGCTACAAGAACGTATAGACAAACACTTATAAATATAATTATTATGTAGTACTAACAATTATATGCATAAAAATTTAAAAATTGTATAAAAACGTTAAATATAAAATTAGAGGTTAATTACAAATACGTAACACAACATCGATAAAATTATATAAATACAAAAACATGTACGTTCAAACAGTCACAACGATTTAAGTCATTGTAAAATTCCGTCAAAGCATAATATGCTTTTGTCATCAACATATCTCTAAGCAGTATTTTAAATGTTGTGACCGTTTCCGTCGATTTAATATCATTTGGCAACTTATTGTACATTTTAATCCCGTTATAAATGAAAGAGCCCCTTACCAGTTCAGATTTGGGCAACCGCAGGTTGTCAACTTGTCGCGTTAGCCGAGCGTTAGTATTGGCATAGTTCGATTTATTTTTATGTATAATACAAGTGGTTTCAAGAATGAACAACGATGTTAATGTTAAAAGTTCATGTCTAATAAAATGTGGCTGACATGACTCAAGCTTGTTCATTCCACATAAAAATCGTATTGCTCTCTTTTGCAGACAAAAAACAGTATTGAATAATTCGCGGCTGCAACCTCCCCAAAATGCAATTCCATATCTCAAATGGGACTCAACTAGGGCGTAATACACACTTTTTGCTGCCTTAAAACCTAGTTCTTTTGCCACAGTTCTGACTGCAAAACATCCAGAAGAAAGTTTTCTGTTTAGCAATTCTATATGGTTTCTAAATTTCAAATTATTATCTAAATTAATTCCCAGAAATTTTATTGTGTCAGTACATTCAATAATATGACTTCCCAACTGAATATTTGGTAGGGAACATTTAAGGGTTAGCATTTTAGTTTTTCCCATATTAAGACGCAAATAGTTGGCATCGCACCATGCTTTGATTTTCTTAATGTCACAGGATATGGTGTTGTATAGGACAGAAGTGTCATTGCTGTGCCATAAAATCGTAGTATCATCTGCAGTCAATCGGGCTTATAGTTCTGGAGATCTGATTATGAGTCAGTGAGTGGTATTTCGCTTTTATATTCGGAAATTATGTATTACTTATAAAATCTCCTCTTTTAAATTCATCGTAACCAAATTGTATCAAATGGAAACGGGCTACTTTTCATTGTGACACCCTGTATTAGTAAAATTATTTAATTCATGTTACTTATTCTCTTGCAAAAAAGTGTTTTACGACTTCGCAAGTATTATTATTCACACCTTTTTACCGAACTGATGTTTGTAATGTTTTGATATTGTATGAATAAATCATAATTATTATACTATTAACTAAAACTAACAGTAGTTTGACATGTTTTGAAAAGTTCTGCAAGGTAAATTGCTTCTCTAATGTTGTTCTCAGACTATTGTTTTATTAATTTAAGACCTTCCTGACGTGTAAGCTTCAGAGAGTCGAAAAAAATTAAATATTTAGGGGTTATGGTTGATACAAATTTACAATTTAAGGAACATGCTATTAACGTCATCGAAAACATTTCATTTAAAATTAACTATTTGAGGCGCTGTTCTCCACAACTCAGCAAATGGGCTACAATCAGGCCCGATTGTACAAAGCAAGCTAAAACCTAGGTTCAGGTGAACTCGGTAAATGGTTGAACTTAACTAAAAAATTGGTATGAATTGTACATACTCCGCTCAACGTCAGTTTAAATAAACTTCATTGTTCAGGGTTGTCAGATTTAAATTTTACTAAATACGTAGGGGTATCTTTGTTTCTCTTATTAGAAAATAAAGGAGCTATACAAAATGTAATTTTTGGCATTTTTACTGTAAAATTATTATTTTTAGAGGTTATACGTAGTTTTCCCCCGTGTTTCCAGACTGCTGAGAATTTGCGATAAATGTTGAATTACATTTTTTATTCAAATATAACATATACGTAAAAATATGGAAAATATGAATGTGCATTCAAGAAGAACGCCAAACTTCACGCATGCCGAAGAAGGTTTACTAGTGAAACTAGCGAAAAAATATTAAGACATTTTAGAAAATACCCTATCTTTTAAAAATCTAAATCTTTGTGTACATTCAGTATTGTTCCACTTCACAAAATAATTGTTCCTTGGTCTATATATTTGTGGTTGCCTTTCTGGTTGTTGTAAGATATTTATTCATTGTAAAAAAATCCTTGTCTTCAGACATTTCATCTATTTTTATTTACCTACCTACGGCACGGCATAATAAACAATCCGTGCCTACGGTGTACGGTTTGTGTACGGTAACGTATAAGGTACCAACCCAACAAATTTTTTATAGTGTGTTACCAACTAACTAAATTCAAAAATAGGACTGAACTCGGTTTAAGCGAGGAAACATGACCGCTTTGTTGAACCTATAGATGAACGCAGTTTATGTCCTGAACTAGTATTGTACAACGCCAAGAACCAGGTTCATGATAAACCGAGGTTCAACTCGCATTGTACAATCGGGCCTAATAATTTATAATACCTCATTTTATTTATTGTGTTACTATATTGTATTTGCTCAACCAGAATGAGTTGCAGCCATTGAAAAAGTTGCAGAATAGAGATATGAAGATAATACTGAGCTGTTCGTGATTGTAACCAATCAATGGGGAATTCTCAATTTTTTTTATTTCACAAATTGATAAATATTTACGAATAAACATAGGTTTCTTCATAATTTTTTTTTAATTCATTCCCCATTTTGAGAAAGTTATTAAAGTAGTGGTTTTTGAGTTTAAAGCGTTACGTTCGTTATTTGACATTATTATTTGCCTAGTAAATAAAAACTGCGTAATTTCTATTGGTTTACAGATTTGTGTTGTAGTGTTTGTAATTGATTATTGGATTATAATTATTAAATAATAATAATAATAATGCGAAAAAAGTCTAATTTAAAAATCTAAACTTTGTTTTGATTTGTTATAAATAATGAAAGATTACTTGTTAATTGATTTTTCTTTTTATTATAATATATATAATCCAGGTAATTCTTGTAGTTTAAGGCCCTAATCTAATTATTGCTTATACACGAATATTATAATAATATTGCTGCTTTATTTAGAATTTAGATTACACTAAATTACAATGTGTATAAAATATATACAGTACTTATTATTTTGTATTAGGCATAGCCGTGCTTTTACAGTGAACATGTGGCAACTACGTCTATCGCTATGTTCTCTGGTTTAGTCACCGATATTCGGTTCGGCTAATATCCTACCACCATAATATCTTCTAATTCTAGTCGACCGCGACGACTGGCTGTTGCCCTGTTGCCATTTTATTAACTTATATACTAGTCGATGCCCAACACGTAAAAATAAGCCCTGTATATATAGGTAATATAAACACCTTTGCTTAAAGGATAGACGTTCAGTATATTTTATTTTTTGCGAGATGAAATATATGTATGTTGGAATTGTTGGATAAGTGTCTTGTACCAAATTGTTTAAATTCAACAAATACAAAACATTTACATTCATCTCAGGGACTTGAATATGATAAAATTGTGGTCTCAGGGTATAGGACTTTATAAAAACTATACAATACTGTGGGGAGATCACTTCAATATCTGCAGCAAACACTTTTTTTTTATTTAATATATAAATTTATTATATTAGTAAAATGCTGTAAAAACGGAATTGATTTGAACTATACTTAAATCCCTCTCCCTTTCTCTTAAATGAGAGAAAAGGATAGAAGCGATTTTCCAAGTGCAGAACTTGAACGGAACGGATGAATTTCTAAGAAACATCCTTCCACTGTTGCCAAATGTCCAAAGTCAAATGTAGCGCTTTAAACTTTAAAATACCCGACTTTATTTTCCAATATTAACCACCTAGAAAAAAAATTTAAGAGAAAAAAATTGGAAGGGTGTTTCTTTCATAATATATTTTAGATATTTTTCATTATTTATGTATTTTCTTTTCAGAGGAGAATTCCCCATTTCATGTTAAATGTGCTTCAATAAAATATTTAATGTTTTATTCCATGCTATTTATATTTAAGAATAAATCAGGAATATATCTAATATATTTTAAGTTATAAGCAGGATGTTCATGAACACAATAAAATAAACTACCAAAATTTTAGAGTTCATAAAGCCATGAAAATAGGTAAACAAACTTATTTTTTTTTAAGTACACAATTTTAATAATTTTCCTGAAGATATTAAAATACTCCTAAAACACAACAATATTTAAAAGAAAACTGCATGCGTAGTCAGCAATTACGCTGATGTTTTTTTTTGTATTATGTTTTGTAAAGTGACTTTGTTTTATCATTTTAGATGTATGTTGATTGTATACTTATGTATTTTTATTTTATTTTAAATGTGAAGAGTGTTTATTTTTTGACTAAATAAACAATTTATATGTTTGATAATACAACAAGAATAAATTTAAAAAAAAAGTTGATGATTTTGTAAGATTTTAAATTATTACCTTTTCACTGCCAGGGCTAACAACACCTTGTGAAGTTGAATGAATAGATTCTAATCCTTTGACAGCATCAATTGCAACTCCCAACATATTTTCATGTTCCGGATTTCTTAATTGAGACCCCAATGGTTTATCCCAAGCACAAGCAGGAACAGGTGGTGGAATACCAGTATCTTTCATAACATAAACATTAACATTCTGAGTTAAATTATTAATATCATTCATGTCTCCTAAAGAGTGGTGTTGTTGTTGTTGTTGCTGCTGCTGTTGCATTACTTGTTTTTGCAATTTTTGTTTGGCAAATCGAGGAGGAAGTTTAGTTTGCCTTGGTCTATCAAACTGATTTTTAGTTTGGGGTAAAACAGGCGGTGGATTCACTGGAGTTGCCATCAAAGGCGGGATATTCTGAATTTGTTGTTGAGTCAATTGTTGTGTCACAGGACTGATTTTTTTGCGGTCACGATCAATTTTCATGTCTTTGCCAGAGTCGTTTTTAATACCTTTGGATGATTTTTCATCTAATGATTTTTGCCTTTCCTTGACATTCTTTTTACTCTTAACTTCTTGAAAGCCTTCGCTGTCACCATTAAAAGAGGTTTTTTCCTCTCTGTCATCTAAGTGTTCATTTTCATCACGATTTTTTGTCGATATGTCGGCAATAACATTAGTAAAAGGATTATAATCAGTTGATTTCTCATCTTTCTTTAGCGAGTTACTAGAATTTTGTCGCATGCTGTCACTACGACTACTATCATACTTTTTATCTCCACCTAAGCGTGGAGGATTATTCCTAGAACGATTCGAGCTTGAAGAAGACCTATTATTCTGAGTTTTCTGTTGTAATTTTTTGTCTCTATTTTTGTCATCAGAATTATCAGAAGCTTTGTTATCATCTGATTTTGGTTTATTTCGGCGATTATCAATTTTATTTCTGGATTTACTGTCTCTATCCTTATTTTTATCTTCAGTACTTGAAGATGTTTCCATTCGTTTTCCAATTATGCCAGCTGCAAGTGCTTGTTGATTCTGCTTAGTTTTATCTTCAGCTTGTGCTGCATTAACATTTGTGTTGTCACCTTGCTTTTTATCTTTTTCTTTGTCATCGTGATGACCTCCGAATGGGCTCTTTGATGGCGGTGGTCCATAACCATCAATCCTTTTACCTAAGCCACCCATTCTCCCACTTCTGAAATTTCCACCTCCCCTTCCATGCCTCGAAGGTTCGCCTCTTGGTACATAATTATTATCTTTCCTATCGGATTTCTCTTTTTTTTTGTCAGCATAATTATCTTGTTTGTTTTCTCGATTTTTTTCATCCTTATCAGATTTCCTCAATGATTTCGGACTATTTTGATCATTTGATTCGGCTTTACTACCATCTTGTTTATGATCGTCCAAAGAACCATCAGAATCTGTGGGATATTCTCTATTTCCAGATTTTTGACCACGACTGGAAGGTCTTCTTGGCCACGGTGGACCTCTGGAGGAATGAGTATCAGATCCCCACCCTTTTTTTTGACCAAAAGATCTATTCCGACCCTGATTAAAATCATCAGGTTTGTCAGGTTTTTTTGAGTGATCTGATGTCCTACTACCTTCAAGCAAGGTTTTTTCTTCTGTGCCTCTGCCATGAGCTTCTTCTAATTCAGATGGAATGGAATCTGCCCAAGCACTAACAAATTCTTTCTTTTCACTATCTTTTTTAATTTCCAATTTGACTTCAACTGGTTGTCCACGCTTTAATTGCGTAAGATTTCGCCTTTCAGTACGCATATCATCAGCTTCAATCCTATCTTTAGTGATGGGACCAGGGACTATACGCCTTTCTTCCCTACCATAATCCTTTCTCTTTTCATCATTAGAGGGTTCATAAATTGCTTCAGACCAGGAACCCATATTATAATCACGAAGTTCCGAGTCTTTGGAATGCTTCGACAATCTAGAATCACGACTGTCTTGCCTTTGGAGATGATCTCTTTCCTTTTCATATTTCTCTGTAGATTTTTCATCTCGATTTTGTTCTCTTCTCTCATCCCAATCATCGTTGCCAAAACGATGTGGATATTCTTCATGTTTTATATTATCTTGAGAACTCTTCTCTTTTTGACGTTTATCATGTTCTTGTTCTCTTTTCCCACCCTGCATATCATAGTCTTGATGTCTATTTTCAAAAACATCCATATGGTAGCGTGAGTCATGAGGAAGCCTCTGGCCTGCTTCTTGTGAATGATGAGGGCTACGATAACTCTCTTCAGAACTTTGTCGTCTGTATTCTTTCCTATCGAATTCATCTTTTTCAACATCGGGGCTATCCTGCCTAAGGTTTCTGTTGTGTGGAGGGTGATGGAAGGCATTAGATTGGGATTTGGGCCCAACATTAGAACCCCAACGATTATCGAAAACGTCTCGGTGATATTGCTGCTGCTGCTGTTGTTGCTGCTGCTGCTGATTTGGCAAGTTAGAACTACTGTTATTACGTTGATGTTTAAGAAATCTTGGTGGAAGGTCATTTTGAAATTGACGAGAAAAGTTGGGTCCATTTTGGTCTCGGTTATCTCGATTATCGCGATTATCCCTTTCTGAAGACTTAATCTGTTTTCTGTTGGAAGGAAAATTTTTTCCTTCAATTTGAGTTAACTGTCTAAACGTATTTCCTTGATTAGGAGGTTGATTTTTTTCATCAGATTCGTTTGGTGTACGAGATCTAGTATCTTTGTCACGTTGAGAATCTCTATCCTTTTCTTTGTCTTTTTGAAAATCTGGCAGTGGTATATCGACATGATTAATTGGTTTGGGAGGAATAGTATTTGGATTTATGGTACCCACTCCTTCATTGTTGTCCTTATCACGTTTTTGAATTTTTTCTTCTAACTCCATTAATTTTTTAGCTGCTGCTTGTTTTCTTTCTTCACTGAACCTTTTCTCTTCTTCCTCTTTTCGCTGCTTTGCCCTCTGAACAGCAATTTCAACCTCTTTATCTTGCTGGGAGCGTCTTTGAGTCCAAATATCTTCATCTTCAGATGATCTGCCTCTTAAGGCATTTGATCTTGAACTATTCCACTGACGATTTTGGTTATCAATATTATGACTATCGCGGTTATCTCTTTGCTCTCTATTATATTGCATTTTCTTATGTTCTTTCTTGAAAGCCTTTTCGCTTTCGTCATCACTAAAGGCCAATTTTTGACTAAAAAGAAATAACAATTTAGTTGTTTTTATTTAAATATTAACTTAATCATACTTATAATCAATTTCGTCTGATTCAGCCCAGCCCATATCCTTACTAATTTCATCCATTCGACTCAACTCTTCCTCTCTGATAATAGGCCTTGGGGCTACTTCTTCTACTTCTCCTCTGTCTCCCAAACGAGGCGGTCGATTATCGGCAGGTCTATGACTTCGCCCATTAATTGGCGATGGCATATTTTGAGAGTTCTGAACACCAATTCCAGGTCCTTGTTGGAAATTGTTACCTTTGTACATCTAAAATAAGAAATACATTTGTTAATTAAAATTATTCAATACTTTATATCAATTTTTTACTTACAAAAGAAGGCATCACCCCCCGGATCTGTGGTGGAAATGGCTGTTGTTGCTGCTGCTGTTGAAGGCCTGCCTGGGCCGAGAGCTGTGGAGGGGCATTGGGGTGAGTCGAACCTGGTTTGCCGGGACCCGCTCCTTCGCCACCTGTGCCTGGAGGGCCCAAGGATCTTTGCCCACCTTGTGTCCATGAACCTTGAACAAACTCTATATTGAAAATTGTTAATCTTATATTTTTCTCTTTAGTAATCGCTAGTAAAAACATAGGGGTATCATTCATTTATTTTAATATACCGGGTGACAATAAGACCAGAGTCACATTAATATCTCTTTTATTTATGAAGTGATTTTGATGAAATTTGGAACAAGCCTACTAGAAAATTTTCGAATTATACTTAACCAAGTGGCAGAATTTCGGTTTAAAATATACAGGGTGATCCATTTAGAAAATTAAACTTAATGACATTAGTAGAAAAATGACAAAAATTCTTCAGATAATTTTGTTTCTCACAGTCTATGTTGATGAATGACATTTTGAGGGAAGTCACTTTCTCTCGAAATAATGTCTAGTGGATTTGCCCAAATTTGATCCAAATCGCTTCATAAAGAATAAACAAAAGCAATAAAATATAACGTGACTTGGTGTCATTCTCATCAGGTAATAGGTATTTTATTGTGATTTAACAATTAAAATATTAACTGAAGGAACGTATCCAATTAAAATATTTTTATTTTGGGTATTTCCAATATCATTATTAAATTTACAGGCCTATATTTGTTGTAGATTTGGAAGTTCTGAAAAAAGCTAAGAATTAAAGGAAGAAAAATGGTTTGTTTTCACTTTGGGGATATGGGGATGTAATTTTCATAATTTCGCAGAGGGAATTAAGGATTTTACATTTTTAGGATTTCCAAATCCGATTTTCTCACTTTACTTTCTTTTTTATTTGTTGGTTTAAAATAAACAAATATAAGTCTTTATTTAAATATTGTCTATAAAATTCATCAAATATTACAATTAAGTTACGAAACATAACTTTATCACATGCCCACTGTTTTTGATAAATTAAAAAAAAAATTCCCTACAGATGACTCATTAATCCTAAGTAATTTATTTATTTCCCACTCTTTCACCACAAAATCCAAAACGGAGAAAACACTTTTTCTTACTCATAATACTTATAAAAGCGTACAAAATTAAACACAAACATTTTCAAATTCCATGTTTAACACAACACAAATACAAATTCTTGATTGACAGTATTGACGGATGACACATACAGAGCTGTCGCATTGCTATTTTCTTGTTTATTATAGGTGACATTTTTTTTAAATAATTAAACTATAAATATGGTGAAAGTTTAAACATAATACTTTTAAATATATTTAAAGGCTCCATAACAAAACAGCGCAGGACAAAATAGCGCAGGACATAAAAGCGAGCTTCAAAATATTCCAGTACTTATTCAAATTAAAATTAAAAAAAAAAAAAACAAACTAATTTTTCCTAACCTGGGCGGCCTGAAGTCATCGCATGTTACTTTAAAAAATTACATAAAATTGGAAAAATTTAAAAAAAAATCATAACTAATTTACCTAACCTGTGCGGCCTGGAGCCATATACAGAGTTGGGTCGGATACAGGAAAAAAGTATCCGAGTACCGGACACGGATACTTACAATGTATCCGGATACTTTTTAGGATACTTTCACCCAAAAAGTACTCGGATACAAGTATCCGGATAC